CTTATCACTTGCTATAGCTGATTTTACAATCGGTTGCTTTTCAATACCAATATTTTTTACATATTTCGAAAAAGATTATTGGCCATTTCATTCATTCTTATGTGATGTATGGCTAAGTGTAGACTATACAATGTCAAATGCATCTGTAGCTAATCTTTTACTTATATGCTTTGATCGATATTTTTCTATTACACGACCATTAACATATCGATCAAAACGAACACCAAAACGTGTATCACTTATGATTGCTTTAGCATGGGTTATATCATGTTTTATATGGACACCGGTAAAATACATAAAGCAAAATAGCAAAATTAGTAACATAAATAAGAAATTGTTTTTCTCTTTGTTCTAGTGGATTTGGGCTTGGCCATTATTTGATGAAAGACTACCACCTGGTGAATGTCAATTGCCATTTTCTTCGAAAGCTACCGGTAAGAAATAAAATATCAATAGAACTTGAATATACTTTGTATTATAGTTGCAATTCCAACAGCGATTGCTGCTTTTTATTTACCAGTAACATTAATGTGTTTACTTTATTTTCGTATATATCGTGAAACAGTAAAACGTCGTAAAGAATTACATCTTTTACAAGCTCAACATCATAATTCATTATCTCAAATTATATCAACAACACGTTCTAATTCAAATAGTCGTTTAACAAAAACTTTAAGTACTATTGGAACAGCATCAGCTCATGAACAAGATGAAAGTATATCAACAGATTCAAATAGATCACATGGAAAAATTACATCAAATCAAAATTCTATTAATAAAAAACCCATATTACCGAATGCTAAAAAACAAAATAAATTTATTCATACATTTCATGGTTATTGTTGGAAGAGGTAATTGTCTTCAGTTTATTTATCTGCATATATGATTGATTATGTGGTAGAATATTATAAATACTCTTCTTAGTGTAATATGTATATGACATGTGTGTGTGTGTGTGTGTGCGTGTGTGCATTAGAGAGGAAATGATGAGACAATATAAATGGGCATCATTTCAAGCGATCGCACGGAAAGAGATAGTTTCGATACAAACTGGCGTATATTAATACGCGCGTATGGAAACAAAAGAAAATGAGATGTCTGTGAAAGATGTTATTTATAGTGAAGTATATTAATGGTACCTCCGGCTCTTTTTGATCATATCTAGTCTTTGGCAAGAGTAAAGTCGATCCGCCTGAAGCTCGTACAACAGATAGAATACCTAAAATAAGTAAGCATGTGTTTGAGAAAAAAAAAGTATAAACAAAATTCTCGCGGTTTTTTCTCAAGAAAACATTGGATCTATTTATGATTCGAGCTGAAATTCTTAAAAGTAATTTTCAGGGGTATAATCGACAGTTTTCATTGTTGATCTTCCTATTCGGATTTCGCAGAGTTCTGAATGCAAAAATTCAAGTTTTGGATCCGAACTTTTACGTATTTCTCACAGGAAAAAAAAAGGGAGAAGAAGCGAGATTTTCGAAAAAGTTTATCATCATCTCTGAGCTATAGTCCAAGATATCTAAAAAAAAAATTCAATTCGATCGGACTAAGTTAGAGAAGATTCTTAAGTGAGCCTGATGTATTCCTATGAAAAACCAGAATTCTCCAAAAACAAAAGAAACACGAAAACTTTGTTAATAATTCATTTTCTCGAGCAACTATCTTCTTATTTTATATAGTTTATCCATAATAAAATTTTCAGCGGATCGGTCGTATCCTCTTCGAGAATTAGAAATGGCCACAAGAGAAAGAAAGAGCGAGGTATCCTCAATGGATAAGTCATAATATATTTACTTTCTAATGACAAATGATGCAATTTATTACGAGATGGTTTTTTCGATTAAAGTAGAATATTTTATTAATTATTCATTTATATATATATATATATATATATAAAAGGCATTGCAATAAAACAAGTTCAAAAGAAAATAATAATGAAGATGATGAATGCTCAAGTGAAATTCAACGTGTAATATCTCCAACTATCGATGAAAATTTAACTGATCCATATCCGTTAACAAATAATAGTGAAATATGTCGTATAATTACTCATTCAAGTCCTACATTTGAATCATTTGAAAAAACAAAAGTAAATTCTTCTCATGATCCATGGATTCGTCGAAGTAAAGAACCACTATCAACCGAGTGTATTTATAATGAAGAACAACATCAACAACAAAAATCTACACAATCCCAAAGTCATCCATATTGTCGTTCAGTATCATCAACATTTGATGATTGTCTTATTCAACATCAACAAAATCGTCAACCATTTATTAGTACTATTGATAAAGATATTGAATATGTTGAATCAAGATTACGTGGTCAAACAACAACTTCACTTCCAACACCACATTCAGCAAACTATACTGAAGATATTAGTTGGCGACGACGACAACCACCACCACCACTACCACGTAATTATACAAATGTCGTATCATCATCATCGAATCAAAAACAACAAAGTCTTAAAGTTCTGAATCAAAATTATTCAAATACAAATAATAAACAACAAATTGATGGAACAATTAGATCTATCAAATCAACAATAACAAATCAAAAATGTGAAAGTGTTAAAACAGTTAAACGACGTTTAGAAAAATTGAAAGATCAAAAAGCTGCGAAAACATTAAGGTTAATATTAATTTTCTTTTATCAAAATTTTATTTCTTTTTGATTTTTAGTGCTATTCTAATTGCTTTTATTGTAACATGGCTTCCTTATAATACAAATATAATCATATCAACTATAAAACCAGATATATTTAAACGTGGATTTCCTATGTATTGGGAACGTTTTGGTTATATGTTATGTTATATTAATTCAACAATAAAGTAAATAATTTTTAAAAAATATAGTTTTTTTTTTCTTCGAGTTTTATTATATTTAATTAATTTAGTCCAATGCTTTATGCTTTATGTAATGGAACATTTCGACGAACATTTGTTCGTATACTTCGTTGTCAATGTCATCGACGTCATACACCAATACATTTACAAAAACTCTATCGTTTTCAAATAAAAAAAGATGTTACTAACAATAATTTTTAATTAAATATATCTTTTGTTTTTATTGTTTGCAGTTGTTCATTTTTATGTATATAATACAAAGTTGATTGAAAAAAAATCAAAGAAAAGAAATTTTAAATATAATGATCAAACTTATGAATTAATATTAAATTTAATAGTCTGATTATCTAAATTGTTAAATATCAAAAGTAATTATAAGATTGCAGTCATTATCATTTTCATCATTTTTTAAATTATACGAGGATCTTTCAAAACGTTCCGAGATTGATTTCATTAAAAAACAACAAAAAGAGTTTCTGTTTTGGAATTATTGCTGATGTGTGGTTTATGCAATTCTTTATCTATTGATATCATAAGCGCTTTAATTAATTAAACATTTAAGAACTACAATAACAACTGTTTTTTTGTTCAGATCTACTTAGATACAGTGATGCAAAATCAAAAACTTGAACATCGTCCAATAATAAACTCATGTGATAATTACTGAGAAGCTACCGTCAATATATTACTCGTGGATGGTGGAACAGCTTATCAGCAATGATCTTTTGTCAAAAAAACCTATATATCATATTAGGAATGCAAATGATTACGAAGAAGTCGACAAAAAAAACGAGATATTGATCAAACTATTTCTCAACGTGAATTTGAGACCAAATAACTATAGCAAGTTTTATTGACACATTTAAATATACTTTTTTTTCTGCCGGTGAATTATGACAGTGAACAAGCCATTTCGATCCGGTTGAAAAAAATTCCAATCCTGAGTGATAGACGTTCTTTTATGCAGAAAAAAAAGTAGATGTCTTTGAATAGGTAGTGTTCAAATCTGTTGATCTTGATCCGCAACAAAAAAGCGATCAAAATAATTATGACTCTTTCGATTCTCTTGCATTCGCTCAATTCAATAATACCCATGATTTATGATCAAAATGTTTATATATCAGCTTATTTTACTCATAATACAATGATCGTTCTCGATAATAGTCTGTGAGTTATCGAAACGCTTTCATACTTAGTCAAGTTTCATTTGCATAACAAAAGTTTTCTTCGTAATGTTCAAATTTCTAATTTAATCATGTTTTTTCATTTTAATTATATTGATAAACTATTTGGTTCGTTGATAATATTAAGAATACCAAATACAGGCCTTTGAGTAAGAATCGAACTCAGCTGGGTTCAGATCTGAAAAATATTGGACTTAGGCTAACAATAAGAGTCAATTAAAACTTGATTATTACAAGAGAACTTCTAGATTGTCTGGGGTATACATACATTGTATAGAACTCATCGGATCGTACTCAAAGAGTAACAGTCAACTATGACTTGATTATTATACGATTATCGTCAAGATTGCCTGGGAAATGTGTAGAGTGTGTTAGTCGGAGAATACAAATAATTGATAATAACGTATCTCGCATTTTTGGACCGCATTGAAGATTCATTAGGAGTATAGTTCGCACCCGAAATACATTTAATCCAATAGATTCTAATGTCAAATTTCAATAAGACGATCCAAAAAACTATCATCTGAACATATTATATCACGATATGAATGTTATGTGAATAGTTGCTTATTCTTACATCGTATTTTAGTCATTCAATTTCAAATAAAATTGAGATGATCACTGAAGATAATGAATTGGTTGGATATTAAACCCATCAATTTATTTAAAATGCTTAAATATGATAAAAAAAAAAAAAGAACTTTTAATTAAATAACAAGAAAAAGCACATATAATATTAAAAAAATGTTTCGCATGACAAATTTGTTAGATGAATTTTTTTTCGAAATGGTATAGAAATATTCATTTTAACAATCACGAAAATCACGCCTTATTAGGTTTAGTGTTTTTCGTTCATTAAAGTTAAAAATAAAATGAATATATTCAATACATAATTTCGAAAGAAAAAAAACATTTAACAAATATGAAAAACAAATCATTAATTTAACAATATAATGAGCAAGATGATTTAATGAACCAAATTTTCTTCAAGGAATGCTATTAATGTATCCGTATCCCATTTTTCAATACCCATTGATTCAACTTGTTCATCTTGTTCATTAAATAGATTAAGTATTGGATCAGCACCACGTGCATATTGAACACTGAACGCTGGAAACTGAGATGGGCGATCGCTTCTTACGAACGCCGCGATTTGGGCATAGCGCCCTAATTTTCATGAACATACTTGAAGAACAGCTCGATGATATTTCTAAGAAAAGAAAACTAATGTTCAACTTTAATTCATATTAAATATCTTTTCATACAGGTTTTCCTTCTGCTTCATTTTGTTCACTTTCATCATTTACACAACATTGTCGACATGAATCTTCTAATTCGCCCAATTTAAATTGTTTTAAATCATTACAACTTGAACACATTAAATTTTTTGGTGCATAACCAAGGTTAGAACATTGATTTGATGATACAGAATCGGACGCTGCCATCATCTATTAACATTTGATTGGAATAAAAGAATAAAATTAAGAAAGACCGAGATATATATATATTTATACATACAATGAATGCAAAAAATTGGCTTAAAAAAGCCACGAAAATATCCGTCGTGCGCATATCACAATCTGAAAAAAAATTAAATATAATTAGACTTTTCTCCATGAATGGAAACTAAATAAATAATCCTTCTTTCAAGTTATCTAAGTCATAAGTACAGCAAATAAACTAAAATAAAATATTTTTTTATGTTTATTAATTGAATCAATATTCGATTGTTCAACAATTGATAAATAGCAAAGAACTCTTATATTAATAATTCTTTTCATATATTTTCAACTATTTTCACTGACGAAATAACATGGAAACAATTATAAGACAACAATTTTTATCAAAAACTAATAAAATTATTAATTTATAATCTATTCTCAATGTTCAGAAAACGTATTTAAAAAATTAATCTAATCAGTTGAAAAAACAAAATTGTACAAGAAACAATCTATGTCTATCATTTGATACAAATGTGTACTTAAACAACTAAGAAAAAGCACAAAGCATATAAAAAAATGAGATATATTTTTCTCCTTGCATTTACGTTGTCGAGTATTGAAGGTTCCAAAGCCTTGTCGTTAACGAATTTATAAACAAACGCTTAAATTCAAGGACTTTTTTCACGCCTTGCATAAAACTACTAGCAATTTCTCTTTCTTTGCTTCGACAATGGACGTTTTAATGCTCAAAACAAACACAAAAGTACAGCTGTTGTTTAATAGAACACTCTAATAACTTTAACAGCATATGTTAGGCGTTCTATCATGAAAGAAAAAACATTAAATTTATTTTTAAAAGCTGTATTGTCACAAACTTTTTATAAGTGTAATATTATTTCATGATTAGCAAACTAATGTTGTCGAATAAAATGATTTAGTTGTTATTAACAGTCGACTTTTTTTGAACGACTTCACTTTTTTTTATTCTCTACAAAGTATTATATTTTTTTAAAGTAATGTTAACGACATCTATTATTTTTCAGGACATATTTCTAACAAACGGTGCAAGATGAAAAATTTTCTAAAATAATCTATTTCTTTAATTGCTTTTTTTAAGTTGTGATGTTACCTTTTACCACTTAATAGAAGTAGCCAATTCTTCGAGAAATAAATAATCCAAGATTTAAATCTGGACTATTCTTATTGTTTTTATGCAAAAATTTCCTAATAATAATTTCTAAAGATGCTGACAGTATGGATTATGGATCTCTAACACGTCCAGTTTTCGATCATTTTTCCTGAAGACAGAAAAAAACTTCTGATACCTACGGGAAAGTTTGTTTTGTGGTTTTCTTCTAGTAAATTGTGAACAAAAAAAAATAAAGTTTCTACCACACAATATGCTTGATGGGGCTCAACATTTTATAACGAGTTCTTTAGTCGACTTTCTTTCTATCTATTAATTGGTAAAAGTCAAGATTAAAAGGTACTATTATTAAACAACTGAAATATCTAATTAGCAAGACAATTCAAGAAAAAGTTATTTTTTTGAAAATTTTTCTGTTTAAAACATGTCCTACAGAATAAGGAATGTTGTTTACATTACTAAAAAATATTATAATTTGTAGAAAATTAAAAGGGTAGGTTTTTGGAAAAAGTTCAGTCTATATTAATGAATACTAAAGAAGATCTTATTAAAATACAGAAAGGTTCATTTAAAAATTTGCTCGTTATTTTATTAATATTTTCATAAAAAAAAAAAGATTGAAAATGGAATTACAATGATTGTTAAATCATTGTACAACTAAACTATAAATTTATTCTTTCGAAATCTATCGAAATTCTTATTAAAACTATATGATTTTGTATTTTCATCATGCGCTGTATTCACCGAATAGACATAACTACGTAAAAAAAAAAAGTATAAATAGTAACACAATACAAACGTTGAATGCATTGGTCTAAAATAAAAAGGATAATAATACGTCTATTAAAAATAAGAAAAAAACAAGGAGTAGGTGATGTTTTTATAGATTGATCATAATAGCTTTCTTTTTTTCGGCCTTAATATCCACACGTATTTTGATGTGTCGCCCTTTGCTTGCCTCCATTTTATCCAACCAAATAATATTTACGACGTTTCTAGTTCGAGATTGGATAAAATTTTCAACCTTTCATATGTGAATGAGTCTTCTGTCAAACATGAATCATTTTTAATAGATATTATCTAAGAAAAAAAAAAATATGGCGTGGCGTGAAGCTTTGAGAAAACCGGTAGCTAAACCAACTGCACCAAAACCAAAGTTTGATACTAAAGATGATGATTGGGAAACCGATATTAATTATGAAGTATGTTTGTTTTTTCGTTTATTTCTAATTAAAAAACAATTACATTCGGTTTGTTTTTCTTTTAAAATCAGAATCAAACAAATGAAAAATCTCAACGTTACGGTTCAACAAGTGTACCTGGTTCTGGTCGAGTAGATCATGTTGATTTTAAATCTCTTCAAGAGAAACTTAAAACAGCTGATAATACTGTTAAACAAACATATCAAGAAAAAAATCCTAATCGTGGTTATGGAGGAAAATATGGAACAGATCAAGTTATGGACAAAGTAGATAGTTTATTATTTCATTAAATTGATTATGAATATTATTTGAGTATAGTCTGCAGCTGACTATTCCTACAAAGCTGACGTTCAAAAACATTCCTCACAAACAGGTAAGAAACAAGAAAAAATTTTAGTTACAATTTATTAAATATCATAAAACGAATTAAATCAATTTTTGATCTTTTTTGATTTTATACTAACGAGGAAACCGCATCAAGTGACATCCGCCATTTGCCATCATCTTGAATGCATAGGCAGGTCTTCAAGAGACTAAACAAGCCTAATAGGGTTCGCCGCCGAGTTCGGACCGGTTTACTGAAATCTTAATCCCAAATTTTGCTTATAGATAGATCTAATGACTTTTAAAATATCTTGAAAGTTTCAGTCGAAAAGAATGTTTCTTCGTCGAGTTATTGAATTTTCAAGTGAACTTGATTTTTGTGACAAAGAGCGATTTTTGAAAATTTAATGGTTTGACGAAAGAACATTGCTTTCGGTTGCAACTTTCAGGATGTTCAAAGAGCCATTAGATTTATTTGTGGACAAAATTTTCGATCGAAACTTCAGTAAATTGGTCATAAGTTGGCAATGAACTCTTTTAAACTTTTGCTAGTCTCATTGAGATCTACCTATCGGTACAATATGAGCTTAAACAGGGAGTATCAGTTGAGATAGTTCCCTCGTAAGTTGTATAATATAGAATAAATTTACTAGATGATTTGTTTTAACTTAGCTATATATTGCTGTGCTTGTTAGAAGGCAAAACTTTTATTGAAGAAATTTATTTTTGTGATCAGACGATTTATTATTATTTGAAATTTAGTTAGATATAAAGATGATCTTTTATAATTTTGTAGTATGTTTGTGATATTTATTTTGATTCATAATCAATTTTATTTATTTGAACTTAAATTTTCGAATATTTTCCATAATTATTTGCTAATAGACTTGCTTATTGAATAAGTTCTAGCATCAATTTTGAATGAAATAGAATATAAATTGAAGTGCTAAATCAACAAATCAACTGCACTATTCAATTGATTTATCTGACTTCTTTGAAATTAATGAACAAAAAAAGAATAGATCTTATATGCTAACATAATTAGTGATTAAACAATGATTATAAAGTTTGTTTACAAATTCTTATCCCACTATAAACAAGCGGTAAAGATGTCAAGACCTATTATTAAGTATCTTTGTATATTCTAATGTACACTGTCTAGGTAATCTCATGAAATATCTAAATGATGACATTAGAATTTCTTTTTTCTTTTATATTGTTATAATGTTCGTCTAGCAAACAACTATCCTAAATACAGAATCTTTCTAATTTCAGTCACAAACATAGCTTTTCTATTATTGTTTTTATAAATATAATTTCGACGAATACATAAGGGTAAGAATATTTTCATACTTTGATTTAAACAAAATAGTTGATGAATAAAATATTCTAGAAAAACTTCATTTGAAAGAAATTCATTTATGTTTGATTCATACTTATTGGTAATCATTATGAACACCATATAAATTTGACATATCTGAAATAATCTATTAATGTATATTTGATTACCATTACTTTTCAAATAAAGATAAAGTAAAACAAAAAATTCAGACATCCTTGTAGACTAATCAAATTTTGTAACATAATATAAATAGCAATAAATTCATAAAATGTCAATATAACTTGTACGATCTTCATCGAATATTCAAAATATTATGATCTACTACCGGGTGTCCCAAAAGTCATGTCCACTTAAGAAAATTGAATATCTCCATTACAGCTCGAGCTAACGTGCTAATTTTTTTATCAGTGATAGAGGCATGCACCAAGTTTATATCCATAAAGACATGTCTAGGGAGTCCCTTTGTTAAGTATCACTATTGACCTCAANTTACATGGTTGGATAGAGCTCGTCGAGCTCTACAAAACTGTATATATTAAAATTTTTTTAAGCCATTGTTCTAAGATAAAAAGTTTAAAAAACTACTTGAAAGATGCTAAAAAAATGTCAAAAAACTCATTTTTTTCATTTGGAAAAAAATTCTTCGATTTTTCAAGACAATTAGTGCTTTTCTTTGACTTTACTATTACACACGCTTCAAAATATGCTCATTAGATACAACGTGAAAAACTGCCCCTAACGAGTCTATTTCGATGCATCTATGGCAGCAAAAGTAATGAAAAAGCTAGTTTTCTTGAAAAATCGAAGAATTTTTTTCCAAATGAAAAAAATGAGTTTTTTGACATTTTTTTAGCATCTTTCAAGTAGTTTTTTAAACTTTTTATCTTAGAACAATGGCTTAAAAAAATTTTAATATATACAGTTTTGTAGAGCTCGACGAGCTCTATCCAACCATGTAAAAAATGTTTGACTCTATTATGGAAACTATTAGCGTCTCGATTTTTCTATGCCAAAAGAAGCATAAAATTTCTGTATGTTTCATTAATTCTACATTAAAAGATTTTGCTAACTCTTACTATTTAGTATCAATAAATCCCGTTTTTGACGCGCTTTAATTTGGTATAAAAATAGTTATGTACGCTATTTGAAATTATAGTGTTACCCCCCTGGAAAAAGGTTATGCAACACCCTGTACATATATTATAAGGAGACACTATTGACATACGATCTGTGATAGAGCCCATCGGGTGGGTTCAGATTCGATGATTTCTAATATCAGATTCCAATTAGAAAATTTCATTGTTTGTATCGAAGTTCGATTCGACCAGCTCTAGTCTGTGCTCGTATACCAACAGCGTCAGCTACGATCTGTAGTAAGCTGTTTCTAACGTGTCAAAGTTAAAAACTTGATCTCTGTCATTTGTATTCTTTTATTCATTATTTCGATCGAATAAACATTTAGTCGGTATATTCTAAATCATAAATGATCACTATAGGTTTCTTTTAGAAAGATGCTGAACTTGTTTTTGCTCATATACAATTAGAAGCTAATCATGAAAGATTACCAGCAAATATTGGTAAAGCTATGCAAGCATTATGGAATGATAATGGTGTTCAAGCATGTTTTTTACGTGCTCGTGAATATTATCTTAATGATTCAGCAGCTTAGTACGTTTAATTAAACGTTTTTTTTTTATCTCATTATTTGTTTCTTTTTTTGGCTATAAGCTATTTAAATTCACTTGATCGACTTATACAATCTGATTATATTCCTACGCAACAAGATGTTTTGCGAACTCGTGTTAAAACAACTGGTATTGTTGAAACAACATTTACATTAAAAAACCATAGATTTCGGTAAAATTTTTATGTTGTTTTTCTCAAAATACTTTCTTATTCATATATAAATTTTAGGGTTGTTGATGTTGGTGGTCAAAGAAGTGAACGTAAAAAATGGATACATTGTTTCGAAGATGTAACAGCTGTTATATTTGTTAGTGCTCTTAGTGAATATGATCTTGCTTCAGTCGAAGATGATAGTATTGTAAGACTATATTGATCAATGCTGTAAACTTTCTTTTCTTTTTCTTGTTTTTTTTTTTTATTTTAGAATCGTATGCAAGAAAGTCTACAGTTATTTAAATCAATTTGTAATAATCGATTTTTTCGACAAACTGGAATGATTTTATTTTTAAATAAAAAAGATTTATTTGCAGAAAAATTACGTTTTTCATCAATACATACTTGTTTTTCTGAATATACTGGTTTGTTAAATATCTTTTCTAAACATAACTTTGATATATATATATATTGTGTGTTTTTGAAAATATGTTAGGACCTAATACATATGAATCTTCACTTCATTATATTCAAGAACAATTTGAAAAAATGGATTTACGTGATAACCATAACGGTCATGAACGTGATTTATATACGCATATAACATGTGCCACAGATACAGAAACAATGCAGTTTGTCTTTGCTGCTATATCAGATATGATTGTACAAACAAATCTAATTCATGCAGGAATTTTTTGAGAATTTATTCATGTATATATTTGAAATTTACACATGATTGAATAATTAATTATGCAAGTTTTTTTTTTTTGTATTATTAACCTTCTTTTGCATTTCTTTATTTACTTTTTTCTATCTCCTTTTCTGTTATCCTTTTGGAGAAATAAAACTTTGTGAAGTATTATTATTCATGTGTCAGTTTAAAAGTCGATGGAATCGATATTGGTTCCATCTATGGGTTATAACCATCATCGATTTGACTTTGATTCTTTATTGCAAGCTATCTTTACATGAATATATATCTACTATTTCATTGGTTAGTGACATGACTTCACAAAATTAAAAAGTGTGAATCTCGGAATAATGAAATTTCCTGGAACTAATTATTTACAATACAATATGTATGTTAAGTTACTCTAGATACAATGAAAAAATGAACGATAGACAGCTTTGTTCAGAGGAGTTACGAGCGAAAAAAAAACCTAGCGTTAACAACATGCTGATTTTCACTTCATGCATTTTGGTTTAAAAAATAATTTGAATCGAGACAGCTTTTTTGAAAAATAAACAGTAGATTGTTTAGACAACTTCTAAGGATACAAAATCTATATGCAAAAATTTTTCTGAGCATGCCTAATTTTTTTCAAAAAAAATCGATTTACTTTTCGCTTGCCACGTGACGGATACGAAATAATGCTCTTATATTCGAATGAGAAGTTCGAAACGAATTCCAAATGGTACAGATTTTTTTTTCAGAATCTGTAGATGATGGTAGGACAAAAATGTTTATTTCAGGACTTGACAGGATCTCTAGAAAACCAGATATTAAAAGAAAGTGTTTTGAGTCTGATCTTGCTGGCAACTGTATCATAGATGCAGGCCATGCCGTAGAATCTATCTTGAAGTTTTGGATTCTTTGTTCTCGTATGGTCGCAGAGGTATTAGCTAATTACTAATTAATTAATAGTTAGCTGAAAGAGCCAACGTTTCCACATATGTCTATGCTAAAAGAACTTTTTCAGAATAATAACCCTTGCGAAGAATTAATATCAAATGAAAGGAATTTATGTTCCGTTGTACTTGAAATAGCCCATATGTAAAAATATTGGCTCTTCCAGCTAACACCTAATTAAACTTTGTTAGTTATTTATTCAAATGTAATTAACACTTAACTCTCCGATCTTATGACAGATAGATCTAAAGATTTCGGCATAGACTCCACACAATAACTTATATCCATGCTGAAATTTTCAGCTAGACTGAACTCTCAAAAACTGGTTATCCAAGGATCTACTTGTCCTCTAAAACAAGATTCTTTCTTTTACTTTCATCGCGAAGTTCTCACAAAGGACTAGTATCATTTAGAATTGATTTTCGAACTTGTCATTCAATTACAAGAGGATTTCTCGTTTCTATATTCGTATTCATTCATGTCATTAACAACGAGTTAGTTGAATTTTTTGAAAAAATTAAGCATATTCACGAACACCTTTGTGTAGATTTTTTTGTAGCCTGAAGAGTCGTATAATAAACGCACACGGTGAGAAGTTTTGTCCTGTTTTTTTGTGTCACGTCACTAATGCATGAAATCGCTCGTATTCTTATTCTAACTACTGATTAACAGGATAGTAAACAGAGAGTTAGTACAGAATTGATCCATTTACATTGAAAATCAGTGTCTATTCGCAAGTCTTTAGATTTAAATTGTATCAAAAAGAGTGTCATCGATGTAAAGTGTCAGCTTTCACAGACATAAAATCATGTATCATATTTTCTAAAACAACTGGTGAAACACCAAGTTCTGAGCGAAATGTTCTTAACTTGGTTAGATTTAAGTAAATTGTAGATGCTCTTACTTGCTATGCCTCACACATTATTATTGTCATTTATGACTGAAAAGACTATTTTCATGAATATAGTTTAATGAAATGCAATTATATGACTATTATCTGTAAAAGGACAAATATTCTATTAACAGAAAAATAGTATTTTAAATTGCCATTTCGAAAAGAATATTTGCATGAATAAATTATTTAGATTAATCGAGAGGATTTTCTTACTGTTTTATCAGAATTTGTGTAGCTAATACCTCATTGTTTTGTGGAATTCATATCAATTTGTGGCTTCTCTTCTCCTACCCCAGACCATAGCAATCAGACGTGATAAGAGAAAAGCCAACGATTACATTGAATGCGTTTTCCTAGCAACGGGAAAAGGCGAGTCAGTAATAACCATGCTTAAATCATTCTGGAAATTGGTAGAATTTTACAAAGCATTCAATACATCTAAGATTTCTATGGGAGATTCCAACTAGTTTACATATGGCAGGTTTTGATATTTAATGCAGAGAAAATTGACGTAACAGAGTCAGAATAGGGCGCACACGAAAAAGTACGAGGTAATTGACTTCCAAGTTTAAGTAAAACTCAATACTGTATATGTCAAGAAACGAAAAATAAAATGATATTTGCTACTTCCTATGTTATGTATCGTATAAATTATTATTCGAAGAAAACTAGTTATGTATTGAAGATATATCGGACAATACAAAGAAGTTTTCTAGTATGACGATATTAAATAAATCCAATAAATTATTATAAATGCAAACATTTTCGAAGTAATAAAATTTCAGACCGCACGTATAAACTAAAAGATTTGTCATCATTTGATTTATCTGGCATTTATTTTTAAATAAATTGTTTTGATACGTCTAACAATATGCCATAAATCTATAATAGTTAAAGTTTGTGAGTTTCACACTTCGACTCTTCATGAAACTCCACTGGCCAATTTTTTAAACTATGTTTAAGGGTTTCTTATACTAAATATCTTTATTTATGAATATAGTATAGACAGAAACTATGCGAATTAAATTATAATCGTCATTGAAGAATACGAATAGAATCTCCTTGCGATCCTAATTTAATGACTGTTTTCCAAGGAAATGGACAGATGTCGACATCGATAAATAAATGAACTAGTCGTTTTGTCCGATTATGTTCTAGCTGAATCTGTCGATTATCACAGTCTAATATCAATGTTACATCATCACCCATTATAATGAATTTTTGATCGCCACTTTTTTGAGCTTCACCATTGACGACAACTCTAGCTAAATCCCACCATCCATTAACAGATGTATCGCTGACACTATCTTCTGTTATCTTATTACACGATGAAGTAATTCCAAAAAATATACGTGAATTTCCAATTTTATCAATTCCATAATGTATATGATGTGTTCCAGATGTGTAACGATTATTACCATAAATAATTGGAAAAGAAAGAAACCTTGCATTACATGTAACAACAAGACATTCTTTGGATGTTATCGCTTTTCCAATAATCTCATCAAATCTTTCATGAGAAAAAATAGGTTTTTCAACAGCAAGAATATGATTTTGAAAATTTTCTAGAGTCAGATCAGAAGAGTGATATTGTATTTGTTGATTATGTACAGTGATTAATGGAATTACTAATTTTCGTGAGTCATTTTTGGAAATAAAAACAGTCGATGATGATTTAAGCGTTTTGCGAAGTTTTCGTAATTGTTGAGTCCATTTTTTAATATCCATTTCTGTATAATCATCGAATTCTCGACTAGATCGAAGTTCTTCTGTCAACTGATTAATGGATTTTTCTAGTTCAGTTTTAGTTTGATCGAGTAATTCTCGAAGTTCAGCTCGTGCCGTGTCTGCTGCTATATGAATCTTATTAATAGATTCTTGTTCCCATGTATTAATTTGACAAAAAAGAGGATGTTCTGTTATGTTCTCATCTAAAGTTTGTCGAAGAAGATCACGCTTTTGGCCTATATTCTCCATTTGATTAGCAAGTTCTTGTCGATGTTCATTAAAATGGTTAATACAATATGTTTGTTGACAACCATTACATGTCGTTATTCCAGCACCTTTACTGCATTTAATACATGGTTGTTTTATATTAATGAATGCCATTATTACACTTTGATAAAAATAATTAACAATATTCTAAGGAAAAGAAAACAACACTAATATGATTTTATTTTTTTTGTTCGTTTACTGCATTTTAGTACAAAAAAAAAAATTGTTAAAAATAACGTCAATCACATGAATTGAGTAAATATTTTGCTGAGAGTCCTTCATAAAGAAAGAAAAAAAACAGACATTAAACATATTTAGAAAGATGTATTGCAGAACAGTAAAATAAAATGCGTCGTAGACGTTACTAGAAATATATATCGTGTGTCAATTTGTTAAACATTCATTCATCAATTTGTTTTATTTATAAAGCTAAATACAATCGACTTCATTGAATATGTAAACTTGCACAAGTCAGTTTTTGAGATCAAATGATGATTAAAAATAGATTACCTTGAAGCGGTTTGATTGAAATAGGTAAATCTTAAAATAGTTCTGTCACATCCCTAAGTATCATTGTGAGTAAATCGAAAGATATGAAAAACTAGCCATTGGTCACTTCTAAAGAAAGAAAATGATAGATAAGTTGAAGATTAAATTCAAATTATATTTTCAAAATAAGTCACAGTCAGCACCTTATGTCGCACACTGTTTCACTACAGACTGCACATTTTATATTAATTTAAAATTTTCAATACGATAAAGCGATTTTACTTATATTGAAATGTTTTCTTTTCATAATCAAAAAATAATTCGTTCTTCTTCGGTGGCTTTACCAATTGGACTGAGCTAGAAGAGGGTTCAGTCTCTTCTCCTCACTGATCGAAACGATGCTAGCTAAACTCTGTTGCAAGCCCTTGAACTCAATGATGGATCTCGATTCTTAAGAAAGGAAAGTGATCATGATCGGAAAGCATGTTTTGAAATCCATTAGAGGTCGTATCGGCTAATTTTTGGACGTTTTCTGCTAAGAAAAATCGAAAGTTATTTCGGAATGATGGGGCGATCCTCCTGAGTGCCTCCTCTAACTTTTTCACAGACTCCATTACACAGAGACAGCTTATTATAAGCCTTCCACTATCAAAATTTTGGCCTAGACCACTACTTTTATATAGAAAAAGTAGTCTATATATATATCTTGAATTAATTTATTGTTCATGTAAGATAGTGACATCTATGTCATGTTCAAAATCTATGTTCATTGGTTCATTCAAGTAAAAAGCACGAAACAAAGACAAAAGGAAGCAATTAACAGCATTCAAAAAAAGAAAAGACAATAATTTGCTCCTCTATTTTTTTTCTTCAATTTGTTTTTTGTAAAAAAAAAGAAGATATAGAACAATGTCGTTCAATACATCAATTCAAATGTTAACGCTTGTTTGGAATGAGAAACGTTTTAATGAATCAAAATCTGCACGTAATGCAGCGCGTCGTAGTATTTTTCGAGCAGCAACTAGTAAGTTACAAAAAAAGAAAGATTCAAAAGCAAATCTTATCAATTTTTTAGTTTTACTTAATTCTGAATTAAAAATTCTTCAAAGTCAAAATGATGAAATTCAACATGAAATTAATCGCTGTCAAAATGATCTACAAAAATATGATAATAAATTACAAATACTTGATAATATGACTCAATTGGCTACACAATCACTTGAGATTTATTTTCAAGCCGTAAGAAATATTTTTCAAGGACCACAATTTCTAATATATTAGAACGATTTTATTTTTTGTTAGCGTATGGAAAATTTACGTGCATTTGTTACTGAACAATGTCATATTATATCTGATGGCATTCAAGAAGAAGCTGATCATTGGAAAGAAATTCATGCTATGTTACAACAGTAAATTAATATTAAAAGTATTTATATTGATTTTATTAATTTTTTTCGTATAGAAAATTAGTTGTACCAGGTGATTTACGTTCATATGGTGGTGGCAATGGATTACCTCGTGCTGTTAGACAGAGTCCAAATTTTAGTCAAATTGTTGAAGAAGAAGAAGAGGAGACGACGGAGGAAAAGGAAACTGATATATCGACTTTGTTGGTAAGATTCTAATCTCTAACAGAATACTATAAAGTAAATTTTGCTTGGTTTTTCAGCAATCACGAACATTAACACCATTAATTACTCAAACCTTAAAGAGTAAGTTAAATAGAATGAAATTTTATAAGACTTACATATATTTTCGAAGGAGTGTAAGTTCAAATTATGGTTTTTGCGATTTCTCCTGTCTCTGTAGGTCCTACCAAGGGTAAGGATGTCGGTGAAGAGAAGACTGATATCAACGTCTTGTTTCTGAGCTTATCGAAATGTATAATAGTACGTCGAGACTTATTGTAGATATAATGAATATCTACGACACGTTTATTTGCCTGTTAAGTCAATAGTTAAAATATTAATAAATAAAAAAAAATCTGTTTGAAATACAGAAATGAATAAGACAGATCATTTTCCAGCAATCGATGATCTTTGGAAAATAACTGTAATCTGCTAGAGACAATGTTTTGTCTTGATTTTTGAAGGTGCACCNTCTCTAACAGAATACTATAAAGTAAATTTTGCTTGGTTTTTCAGCAATCACGAACATTAACACCATTAATTACTCAAACCTTAAAGAGTAAGTTAAATACAATGAAATTTTATAAGACTTACATATATTTTCGAAGGAGTGTAAGTTCAAATTATGTTTTTTGCGATTTCTTCTGTCTCTGTAGATCCTACCATGGGTAAGGATGTCGGTGAAGAGAAGACTGACATCAACGTCTTGTTTCTCAGCTTATAGAAATACATAATAGTACGTCGAGGCTTGTTGTAGATATAATGGATATCTACGACACGTTTATTTGCCTGTTAAGTCAATAGTTAAAATATTAATAATTAAAAAAAAATCTGTTTGAAATACAGAAATGAATAAGACAGATCATTTTCCAGCAATCGATGATCTTTGGAAAATAACTGTAATCTGCTAGAGACAATGTTTTGTCTTGATTTTTGAAGGTGCACCATCTTCACACTGAATTCAACACTAGGTCGAGAACAAAATACCACTTTTATATTGAGTTATGATTAAGGATAATTTTCCCAAAGTATACGCAATCAATTCAACATTGTCAAAATCTATATGAAATTAATTTTCGTCCTATAAAGTGACGAAAGTTTTTATACCGTGCAAATTCACATTCCTCAGTTTAGGTATCTCCGAGAAAATTTAACCTTCTTCTTTTGACAAAAGAAACTTAACATATATTGTATTAGTAAAATAAAGCTAGAGAACACATGTGAGTTCTACATTTTAGTCCCAAAAAGTTTGTCCTGACAAGTTTTTCATTTTATTCTTTTTATATTTTCAGAAGCTCGTTTACTTGCATCGAAACTATCTCAAAATACATCATTAGTTATTCCATCGGAATTGAATATGTCAAAAACTGTTCATGAAGAAACATTAATCGAAGAACCACCACCACCAACATCCATTGTATCAGATGATCATGTTACATTACGTGATGTTTCTGCTATTGAAAAAGCCATTGAAATTGATCATGATTTACCTATTCCTGAATTATCTATGTCATTTTTACCATGTATTCCAACAACAAATATGGAAGACGAAAAACAAAATAATAAATCAATTGCTTCAACTATTTCCGATAAAACATTTGTTAAAACATCTCTTAAACAATTTTCATCTGATGAAGAAACGGACGATGACGATGACGATGATGATGAAGATACTGTTATTGAAGAGAGTCTTATTACGGATAATATTGAAAATACACGTCCATTATTATTAACTGCTGATCGATCAATACGTAGATTAGTTACACCGTTACGACAAGAAAAACATTCGTTATTAAATCAATTGAGTATAGAAAAAACTAAAATTAAACAGGAAAAAGTTAGTTTTCGAGAACCATTACATATTGAAAACAATCAATCAGATAAAACATTATTATTAAATAATAATTCAGTTGTTATTGAAAAATCAAATCATGTTCGTCCAACAATTATTGATAATCATAGTACTTCAAAATTATCACCAATTAAATCTGCTGATTCGTAAGAAAATGTCGTTTTATTTTAAATATATTATTAAATAATATATATTTATCTAGAAATGAGGAAGAAGAAAAAGAAGATGTAATGCAACAACCCGAAAAAAACCTAGTCGATGAAGAACTACCAACGAATGCAACAAAAACAAATAAAAGTCCAATTGTTGAACAAATACCTGCTTCAATACCTGTTGAAAATCCGACAAAACGAAGAACTACTCGTCGAACTACTATTCGACTTCTTCGAGAAAATCAAAACGGTAAGAAACTCTGAAATAAACATACAACAGAGTAGCACATCAATAATTAGATAATAAAAGCAATTCCTATATATCCAGTTTGCTTTAATCTAATAAGTTGATCCTTGGTAGAGTTCGGCACTTCCAAAAAACCTAGAACCAGAACCATTAACTCGTCAGATGGACTCAAAAATTTTTTAATTTATGTGGAGAAATTTTCTTGTTTTCATTTTTGAGATTGAAGATTTTAGTCTATATGCATAATATTGTTTTTGTTTAATTACTGACATATGTGGCATCTTGAATGTCAACACTTCAAATAGTAAAAATCTCTCGGAATAGATTCAAAATTTTCCTATTTGTCTGATGATTTAATGGTTTCGTTTCCATGCAATATTTTGGGAACCATTCTTAGAGACAGACCTGTGAAAATTTTTCGCGTACATATTACCTTAATAGATAGGTCACTGAGATCAGTCCGATCTCGTTCGCTTGAGTTGAAGAGAAGTTATGAACTATGGCAATCCATTTCACGGTGAGTCTTATAACTCAAGACGAGAAGGCCCACACCTGTCCATATATGATACGTTCTTTTCAACTTCAGCGATCGGAACCGGTCTGTTTTCTTTTAAACTTTCGGTTAGTAGTGCATATTGAAAACAGTGCCATGGCCGGTTTCCTTGTCCTCAAGGAAAAATATCCGATTCGATTGATTAAACTACTAACGACAAAACGCTTGCAACTCGTATTTTTAGTGGATATTTTCACGAATAGTTAAACGCAAAAAATATAAGTTTCTAAAAAACTCCGACTATTTCTAATTGCTGCTGAGAGGTAGTTGACGTTTCGTACAAACGACAATAATCTTCTCAGAGCCTTGCTTGCTTTTGCGATTGACTACCTATGGAAGTATCTCTCAAAAATATGATTCGAAAGCATTTCGTTGTTAATAGAAAACATGCTAGAGATGTTCGTTTAATTATTTATAAATTACTCTGTATGAACTAGGATTATCTTTATTTTAGATAATTTACCAACACAACCACCTATCGAAATGCCAATAAAAACTCGTTATGCAACTCGATATTCTACTCGATATTCCACTAGATTAGCAGCTACGGTTACTAATGAAGACGTTACAATATCGCGAACATCAACAGTTCATCGACGAGCAACACGTTATACTTCTGAATAAAAATAAATATCTATAAAATTTATTGTATTATATATATATATATATATATCTTGTGTTGATTTAATTAATTCTCAAATTAAATGAAATTGTATAGTTTTGTGTATGACTATGTACATTATTATTATTTCCTATTGTATCGTCTTTTTGGACGACATTCGTAATAAAATTTAATTGTATTACGAAAATCATTATGTTTGATTTCAAATGTAGAAAAAATAAAATTGGCGCTTGTATAAAATTAAATAGACATGCAATATGAAAATTTTAGTCGACATCTTCGAGAAAAATATTATACACGTGTACATATTGCGGAACAAATTATTGATCAACTCAAATATAATAGTCAACAACGAATATTCATGACATCTGTACCTAAATCAAATAATAAAAATATGATTAAAGCTCAACAAGAAATATCTTTCCCATTGATATCGTATTTAAATAAATTTGAATGTGATAAACAAATTTCAAATGAGAATAATAAACAATTAGAACCTTATTTTAATGAATGTCTCTTAGCTGCAGAACGTATTAAAAATAATCGACGTTCTGATCGTGATCGACAAATTTGTTATGAAAATTTTGTTTTAGCACAAAAATTAGAACGTATTAAAAAACAATCTGGACAAAATGCGCGAATGACTTTAGAAAAAGACTATCAAAATCATTGTCGATTGTTAATGTCAAAAGCTAATGATGGGCATAACACGAAGAAATTAATTAAGAAAAGATTTACTACGAAACAATTTCACTTATCAAATGAAAAAGGTTGAACATAGTGTTTATCTACTGAGTACAATTTGGCATCTAAAACTTGTCTTTAAACATTAAAAGAAAATTGAGAATAAATCAACCATTTCCCCGACCTAGTACGACCGATCAAGCTGAAACTTCTTTTACATATACTATACACTGTTTAGCATGGGTAAATTTTTTGCGTAGTAAAATATTGTTCTACTGATTTTTAGTTCTTCTTACAAAGAAATGCCAAGTTCAAAAAAAAAAAAAACTAGTATCCGATAGAGGTGAAGTTGGCACAAAAACTTTCTCCATGTCGAACAGTGAAAAAACACATCATTTTCAAGAATGACATTGATATTTTGGCTTTTTTTTATTCGAAGGACAAAAAGCAAAAAAGACACTCACCCTAAAGAGTGTCTAGTGCCTGTAAAGAACATTTCAGCTCAATTAAACACGGTACATGTCCGAAAAATGGATGACGAAAATTAGAGCCATTGTGATTCCAGTATCTCATAGAAAACAGAATCTGGGAATATTGAGTCTATGACAACTTTTGCTCTACTGCAATGATGTGTTTCTTTGTATTTGATGCATATAAATGGTGTCCCATAAGTTTTGGACTTCATCAAAAATTAGTTCATGTGTAAATAAACAGTGATCCCTAGCCAACTATATTTATATGAGCTTAGAATACTTCGGACGATGATATTATTTCTTTTAATAATAGCGATATGAACAGAAGAAATGTAATAAATAAAATCTCGAAATTGGCCAATATTTTTTTAAGAAGTTTAAACAAACTATGAATTCATCGTATGTAACGTAACACAATCATATTAAGCCATACGTAGTATATAGGGTACACGTATTGCTGTCCTCTGTAATCACATCCTAATTATCACGTTTCTTCTGTTTATATTACTATTATTAACAGAGATAATGTCATCGTGTCCTAAGTATTTGAAGCTCATATAGATATAGTTGAGTAGGGATCACTCTTTGTTTACATGTAAACTAATTTTTGTTGAGGCCCAAACCTTGTAGGACCTCCTTTATATAAAGAACTTCTATATTTACATTGATAGTATTAGATTTCAACGAAGATAGATCCTTCGAAACAGGCATAACTTCTTGTCATTCGTCATTACCAATCAAGCGTGAAAGTGCATCATCAACTTCTGACAGTGATGATGATCAAGCAACAATAGCTGATGTTGATGCTAATATGGATTATTGTGATTCAAGATCATTTGTATTATGCAAACAACGAAATACATTTCGAAAGAATCGTAATTGTAACCATGGACAATCGATATCGACAAAATGTAAAGAAATTTATTCTTTCAAGAATCGAAACCAGAAATTTTGCGAAACAGAAAATGATCATATTTATCAACATCTAAGCAATATCGATATGATGATGGTCAGAGATACAATGCCTCTATTAACATCACAAAATTCAAGACATTTTTCTATATGTATTCTTCCTCATTTTGATTCTGATATGATAGAACCGAAGAAGGATCATTCAAAAATCTTTTCACATGATCGAAAATATGCATTTAAAAAAGAGATTTTGTACCATTAGATTTCCAATAAATGATTAATTATCATACACTCATTTCGCTCATTAACGAAAAATTTTATCCAGAGAAAAAAAATGATTCGTTTCATCGTTTGAAATACTATAATCCAATGGTAATTTTTTTAATTGATTTTTACCAGGCCAACTTTTTTTTTTACTATACGCTGTCAAATAAGAGAGATAATTTACTATGATGATGACAGAAATACACGTACGTTAATTCTTGTAAATACATACTTTTCATAGGTTAAAATTGATTACTTATGAATGACAATGTTGTCGTACTGCGACAGTTTGTGTTTGAAAAAAATTCAATGGAATATTTTAGCTTGTTTCAGAAAAGAAACGCAAGAATTACTTCTTTTCTTGATATTGTAGTATGCAGACATTATTCCATACGTTATATTATCGTAGTGCGCAAAGAATGAGAGTGCAAAAATCTGCCAAATTCTTTGGTGACATTCTCAAATTATTGTGTTCTTGTAATCTATAGTAAACCTTAGGATCTTGAAGAATTTGTGTCATGTTCAACGTTCATACTTATTATCTCATATTGTTTCGAAATTTCATGATTAATAGTCTTGCTATTAAGATAGATGAAGTGTATGTTATGTGAAAGACTTCTAAAAAATATTAAAGATCATGACTAGAATATCTATAATGACAAATAGAAGTTGCCATAAGGATGTTCCAAAAGTCTGAACTAAAAGAACGTGGATATCTCTTTAACAGTTCAAACATTAGATATGAGACTTTTTTGGATTGTATTGAATACTCCTTAAAGGAATGTTACAGAAATATTTATGTTTCTTTTGCACTCGCACTTTTCAAACATCACATAGTTTTTAACTAGAAATCGATACAAAAATGAATGTCTGTATTTTAACCATTTCAATATGAATGATAAAACAAAAGTAAATAACGTTGCTCTCTGTTGTCACTGATAACCTTGCATGAATGACGTCAGAGTATGTATCTCTTTTTTACATTTTATCAGTCACTTTTTATCAATATAGCAAGTATAAAAACATTACCTTCACAGGAATAATAGAATACAATTAATAAACAATGACTTCTAGTTCTGACGAAAGAAAAACTATTTTAATTGTTGGAGCTGGTCTGGGTGGTTTAGCTCTTGCTCAATTATTACAACAGGAATTTTCTTCTTCTATTAAAGTAATTGTATTTGAGCGTGATGTTGGCGAAGATTTTCGTGATCAAGGTTATTTTATAACAATTAATCAAATGGGATATGATGTGCTCAAACGTATTTCAACAGTTGATGATGTTTTTTCTCATTCATCAACTATGTCTTACAGTCAATGTCAATTGAAATGTGCAGATAAATCTATGAATACCACGCTTGAGTGGACTTCAGGTGAAATGAAAATTATTGAACGAGGACTTTTACGACGAAGTCTACTTAAAAATATTGATGTTCAATGGAATAAACGATTTGTTTCATATAAAATTCTCGATGATGGTGTTGAAGTACATTTTGAAGATGGATCAATTGTACAAGGTACATTACTTGTTGGTTGTGATGGAGCCAAATCACTTGTACGAACTCAACTCATACCAGATCTACAACGAAATTATACAGGAGTTGTTCATGTGTCAGGTACTATTGAACAGAATGAAGAATTAATACAAATTAAACAGTTAGTATCGAATAGTCTTGTACAAGTATTTGGCGATCAGGGATATTCATTGTTCATGATTTCTACTGGACAGTTATGGCTTTGGTCTCTTTCATGGCCAAGTACGGATGGAATAGAAACAGAAATTTCGCTAACGCAGTTACTTGATAAAGTTCGTACTAATTTTAATAATGAAGAATTTGTTCGTTTAATAGAATTGTCTTCATTGATACGTCTTAACATATTACCTATCTATTCTTTTCCCATTTTAAAAGTCAATCCATTTCCAAATAATCCTCGAGTAACATTACTTGGTGATGCTGCACATTTGATGACTCCTCATCGTGGAATGGGCGCAAATACAGCTTTTGCTGATGCATTCGATCTTATTGATGTGATACGTTCAGATTATACTAGAACTTCTCTTGCTGATTATGAAGAGAAAATGTTTAAGCGTGGTTTTCGAGCCGTTCAAGATTCTCTTGGAAGTACTCGTATGACACATATGATAGGTGTACAAGCTCAAATACGTGGCTATATTATCTGGTTTTTAAACTATTACATAAAATTGAAAAATTTAATTTCAATGCCATTTTATTGGTATTGGAATAGAATAAACTAAGATTTTATTATTTTGTATTGTAACTATTTATGATTGAAAATAGAATAAAAATTTGTGTGAAGAAATTTTCTTAAATAAACAAGCCAAGAAATATGAGTTGATGTCAGCTGGAAGTAACCGTAAGTCCTTGAAAAAAAATCTAGAAATCTTCCAATCCGGAATACTGCTTCCATGTTCTATCGATTTCCAATAGTTTCGTGTCGAATGCGATGATTTTTTTCGTTTTTTTTCAGCCATGTTCTGTGTCATGCGATTGTTGCTGAAGCTCTGAATCATCGACTTTGGTACGAGGTTTGAGGAGCAAAGGATTGTAGACATGTTTTGTGTCTAAATAGTACTGCTATGATTAAGATTACTCGTGATTTGTTTATGCTACGTATGTGATACCCATGAATAAATGAAGTATAAGCTTTCTGAAAAAAAACATATTTCAAACAGGAATGTATAACTTTTTGGATTATTAGTAAACCTACACTTTTAATTACTGTTCTTCCTCTACAAGATTTAGAAGTCTTTACACAGTCCTGGAAACATAGAAACTGATATGACATGTTGAAATGTGCATTTTATTAAGATATGATAATGTGAAACATAACGCTTATGATCTCCTTTTCGCTATGTCAAGGTTTTTTCTTGATTGTAGAAGATGAGGATGTTCTGTAGGTAGTGTCTTTTGTGCTATTTTAACAGCGCACTCACTTTACGTAACAACTGTGGCGTGTTCTCTCATTTTGTCATACAATTTAGCGATGTTGTTGTAGATTGAAGTCAAATCTGGATGATTTGCTGAAAGATTTCTTTGAAAGATTTCAGGTGCTCTTTCATAATATGAAAGTGCTTGAATAAATTCATTCATGTTTTCATGCACTAAAGCCAGATTGTTGTAGGAGGCAGCCAAATCAGGATGATTTGAAGGAAGAGATTTTTTATCGATTTCAAGTACCGTTTCATAAAAAGAACGTGCGTTTGAATACTCTCCCATGATATCATGTGCTCCACCAACGTTGTTGTACCCAGTAGCTAAGCTTGGATGATTTGCCGGAAGAGGTTTTAGAAAGATGTCTAGCACTTTTTCATAATATAAAAGTGCTCTCGGATACTGTTGTGTTTGGTAATAGACAGCACCAATATTATTGAAGGATTGAGCCAAATCTTGATGGTTTGCAGGAAGTATTTTGTCACGAATTTCAAGTGCTTTTTGATGTAATGAAAGTGCTTCCGAATATTCGCCCATGCATTCGTATGCCGTTCCAATGTTGTTGTACAAAGTAGCTAAGGTAGATTGGCACACAGAAGAAGTGTGCAATAGATATTCAACAGATTTTTGTAGAGAGCAACTGCGTCTGCGTATTTTCCTTGACCATCTTTAATCAGTCCAATCTGATTATATAAGGCTGCCTTCTCATTATCGTCATAGCTATGCTCTAAAAGTATGTTATGAATTTTGTCAGCTTCATCAAACATATTGAGCTTAAGTCGTAATCGACCAAGTCGATGCCATCCTGTTGATCCTTCAGTTTCTTCTCGTATACGTTCGGTAAGTTTTTTAAGGTCGTCATCATTATCACTAGTCAATGTTAACTCCACTTGCCATACACCATCGTTTTCACTCATTTGTACAACATTACTAATACGAAAAATCGAATGCATCGAGAAGAGAATCTCGTCTTCTTGTTGAAAATAACTGATATTAGAGATAGAAGCGAAATGTGTTGTTGACATCAATGGATCAACTGTTACGACGAAGAGAATGCCCAACATATCGGAATAGGAACCAGTCTGCTTAGCGAATGCGAGAGAAACATGGCGACCTTTGCTAGGAGATAAAAAATTATTAAAACACATCAATCCACCTTTTCTTTATATTATTTGGTCAAAGTCTGCTTTACTCAAACCTTGACCTCGATAGACAACGAACGATTGTACTGAATGTTGATCACCGAACTGCTCAAAATGTAATTTTTCGATCTGTCGGTGAAGATCACACATAAAGAAGCCCATGCTAATGATAATGTCAACATCCACTATTCTCCAAGCTTGATTAACCCTTTGGAGATGGTGGTTCATACGTTGTACTACATATGTTCTGTATCCTGTGCTTTTGTAAATTGTATCAATCTCTTTATGTAAAAAGTGTACCAGGTCAACTCTTATTTGCATTGTATTTAAAAAAGTCAGTTTCTATTGGTTTATTTTAAGATAGACACTTAGGTCAAATAATCAGACGATAAGATTTTGTTCAGATTCTTACAAGATCACACATGATCTTACCATCTGATCGTACATGTTCATATAATATCATAAGAAAATCGTATGCGAAGTCATAGTGTCTGAAGAAACTTACATCAACACATAACATACAATGAACATAAAAGTTTATCCTCTGATCTTGTATGATCATATAAGATCGTACTGCCATATTTCACTACATTCTTTAGCGCTTTTAGATTAATTCTCATAGTCTTGAAGCTCGTTCTTGAAAAGTGATTTAAGCGTGCAGTTCACTTTACTTTTACACCATATAATGCCTTATAACGTGATGAACATGCATGGCTAGGCAATGTATTTTACTTTCTTGTTCCATTACTGTAGATAGCTAGGATATGGTATGGGTGTGGATGCCATTGTTGGTTTTCAAGAAGAGAGAATCCATACCCCCACCTACAATACAATGTACGACACATGAGACACATTCTGAAAATGTGGTTTGGATCTATTATTCAGTGCATTTTTCATTTTTATCTGTAAAAGCAAATAATGACGTTTTTAAAAACTTAGTTCAAATTAGTAGTACTAACTCTTATAACTTAAGGCAGTTAGATCTTGAAAGCTAGCCGTCTCGAGTCCGTCTTCTCTCGATCAGACCGTTTCAAGGCAGTCTTCTTTCGATTATCAATCGATCGATCGGTATGTCGTCGACCAATAAGTAACCAAGAAATAATCTTGAAAAAATGCATAAGAAAATACTTAAGTTCAGTATGCTCAATTAAGTCGGCTTTATGCAGTTGTATGCACAAAACTAAACGGCGGCGAATGAGTAGTCAGCAGACAAACCACGACGCATACGTAATATGACACATTCTGATTGTGAAAGATTTTTTGTGGTGAAGTCTTCAACATTATAATTAGTGACACATTTTATTTTAGTGTATTATTACAATAATTAAATGGAAACAAGACAAGAAAAGTCATTTTTATGATTCTATTTCTCACAAAGTGTAGGTGTCGGTTTGAGACTTTCTTTTATTCTACACCCACACTCTTGCCGACAAAAATGTTTTTTTTTTGGTAAATGAATAGTAAAGAATGATCTTTTCCATATAATTTCTCTTTGACAAATGTGTTACGAGTATGTAATAAACAAAATCCAATCCATTTGAAAACCTTTCTGTTGAAGACAGAAATTATCAATTCTTTTGTTTTCATTTCATTGTGCTTACGTAAGTCAACAAATCGAAAATACAGTGGAGTGCAAAAAAAATTGCCGTTGCATTTACGCATTTTCTCGAGTCATATCTGTGAAGCGCATGAACGGATTCTTCTGAAACTTTTATCAGTAATCAAGGATGTGCTATAGATTTTAATCAGAGCATGACTCCTCAAAAAGTGTCGTTCGGTANTATATATATATATATTTCTTGTTACTGACAAATGGAGAGGCACATTGATTGTCTTTAATCCCTTAGTAATGGGCATGATGTTTATTCGACTGTGCTCTACATCCAAAATGTAACAATCTAATACACAACATGAGCTTATATAGGAGAAGGATGGAAGGAAAGAGAGAGAACAAATTATACAATACAAAAAGGAGAAAGGAAAGAGGAAAGATATAACAGAATATTACGCATCATACGATCAGTCAACGGTTGTTGTAGAAAGGACATCCATCTTCTTATGTCACCCTTGATGATCCAGTGGCATTGAGAAGATATGTTAGTGTCGTATCACGTAATAATCATTAGCATAATTAGCAAAGATGACGTGCTTCTTGGCACATCATTTCATCATATCGTTTACATATGAATGACACGTTTGTATGTACGAGTAGAATAGGAAATGATGCAAAGACAGATGATGAGGTCAAAGATACAACAATGTACGAATGAACAAGTAATGATGATAAGGAGAGAACAAATATACAATTGTATAAGAAGCGCATTACGACAAACAGGAACAAGCTTCCATCATAAAGAGATAAACGTAAGAGTAACGCGATTATGAACGCAACATATCATTGATTTTACAAGAGCGCACTGAGAAAGAGAAGATATCATATAAGATAATATGCCTATCGGCACAGTATCTAAGTAAGTTATTGCAATCCGATTCTCCCCGAAAGCTGTACAACCGATTTCAAAGACCTGGCAATCCCTACACGTAATGTGTAAAGACAGAGTTGATGTCGTGCCCCAGAGCAAGCACTCTTCCATACCCACGAAGTACTAAAGCGTGGCATTTCATTCTGGTTCCTAAGGTGGATGCGGATTCATATTTTCTCGGTCACTTTCACCAACGTTGGTGTTCATACCAAGCCTTCGTAGTAAAGAGCCTGGTGGTCTCAGACTCAACCATACCTTTTAGTGTAAGGTATGGGAAAAATGATTTCCGACATATTTTATGTTTCTAAACTCAGATAGTCGTCTGAAAACAGCTGCCAGAAAAGGAGCGTCATGCGCAATCTCTGCGAAAGTGATGTGTTTTGATTGTTGCGACTTACGTGCTCAAGGCGGCATGAACCTGAGGTGCATGGAAACGTATCGTTCAAAGATCTTTCAAAGATTTTTCATAGATCTTTCAAAGATCTTTCATAGTATTTCAAAGATCTTTGAAAGAGGTTTCGAACTGGTTTTCATGTTTTTCCGGTGGAAAACGGTGAGTTCCTTGCCGGTTTTCGGGGGGTTCTGCTAGATTCCGAGTTTTTTTTCAGGTGTTTTCGGGTGAACGGAAAGTTTCGGAATAGGGTGGTTCCGGGTACGGTGACTTTCCGGCCGAATCCGGAGACCGGAATCATCGACCTGGGAATCTAAATAATTGTGTAAATATTGATCACAACGCGAGGGAAAATCTTGATAATATCATCAATGAAGTTATTTAATATTGAATCTTCCCATATGATGAGAATAGGTTCTTTTTGTGCCGATATTGATGGCACGCTTCGATGATTCTCCTTCTTCGTCCTTCTGTTCTCTTTCGATTGTTCTAATATATCTCTCTCGTATATATGCGTGTGTTATGTATGAAATTGTTACACTCTGGATATGTAAAGTAGCTCAATAAACATCATTATCGAGAGTGGCGGTAAGGTACTCATCCAATTTGTCGTTACACTGGACACCTTCAATTTGAATTGACTCACGTCGCTAGTCAATCAAGTGTCTTCATCGAAACTGACCAATGGATGCACGCATGTTGTATAACCGTTTCAACAGGATCAAATGACGGTATTTATCAATCATTTGAATAATATTCTCAGCTTTCACCTTTGATTTTCCATCTGATTTCTTAACTCCGACTCGAAATCGATTATTTATTCATTAGAGAATTTTCTCAAAATAATATAAATACTTAAAAATTTGAAAAACTTCATGTTGATCAAATTGAATCATTGATAAAACGATTAAATTTCAATTAATTTTGTTTTGTTGAACAGGTCTTTATGTTCAATAGAGAAATGGTATTATTTATCCGCCGATAAAAGTGTATGTTAATTACCGAATACATCTAATTGCTTTGAAAACGAGTGGTGCATCATCAATGAGATCAACAAATCCTATTCTTAGTAATCCATAATTTCCTTTGAATCTGATACATTCTGGGTCTTGTATGGCAGCATTCGAACTGCAGCACGGCTCTAATCTTGTTGCTGATAGATCTGGTTCAAGTCGACTTGCCATATTATGTCTAGTTCAAGGAAATGGGCGAGTGAGTGTTTCGGGCTCTGCAAAACTGTATGCAATCACATGTCAAATTCAAATAATTGACGCTCAAGCAAGTGGATCTGGGCAAGCTTATGTTAATGGTGTAGGAATTCGTGCGCGCGTAAGTAGAGTCGGTGCCATTCACTATCAAGGAGCTTTGCTTAGTCAACATAGAACTGGTGTTGGTTCTATCAGAGCGTATTTTCCTTGATAGAGTCATGAATAACCTCAATATTGATCATCGGGAAGCAGCAAACTTATCGACAAAAGTGGAAAATAATGGTGATTTTTGCTGGTCTCAGATTTTTTTTTCTCCTCTTCTAATTTATCTTCAATTGTGTCCATTGGTTTCTTTCAATTGATAATCCATGATCCTCTAAATGCTGGCTGTTCCATAATAAAATCTCGTTATATTGATTTTGCTAAGATCATTTTTGTTTCTTAGAGACGATGATGAAAAGAGTTCACGTTATTAAAATATTCTAATATGATTTTACGATCGGTTTTGTTTCGAAATGAAATGTCTAAGATTGTTTTCAGTGAGAATATTTTTTTTTTCTTTTTTCGTTTCATTGTGTCCGCCAATTTATTTTCTTTATGTTATTTTTCATTTTCACAGAATACTCTTTTCTTTGCGTTTGATATTCATCGTATATTTTTCAATGTCTTTCTTATTACTCATAGAATTTTGTCAAACTGTTGATCATCATATAAAGAGATGCTGATTGATTACAAATAAATGATTTATCTCTATTAAAATGTCAAATATGGCGACAAAGTTTCTTCGAGGCCACCTGACAGGTTAATCTCGTTTCAGTCATCTGTTTTGTCTCATTAAAATGTTGAATGTGATGTAGATTTGCATTGATAAATACATAATAATAGTTAATATTTCAAATAATCAATTATGGTTTTTATTTAATCGTTTGACTTATGCGAATCTGAATTAAAATCATTGTTTTTCATTGAATGATGAGATACTTTGCACGTTTCGTCAAAGGCTATTTTTTTTTCTTTGTCTATGAAATATTTCTTTTGAGAATATAAAAACAAAAATAAAATCTACAGTAGTTTAGTATTAAAATCATTAATAAAACCAAGAAGAATCACCAACCTATGAAAATAATCAGTAATCGCTCATTTATTTTTCTAATAAATCAATATACGTTTGAGCATTGATTGTTATTAAAAACAGAGAAACAACGACAGACATTTTGCTTTTAGCAGTAGAATATGGGAAAATACATATTTCTTGTTGGGAAAAATGCATTAGTCAATGGTCAATGGGAAAATGTCGATGAACCTGTTAGCACACAAATCAATTGTTTATTCTCTTTTTTATTTATTTATTCTTAATCAGATATTCAATGATCATAACAACAAAACTTTCCGTATATTTATATCCAAGATTCATACAGATATACCAATGAGTTAATATCTCATCTTTGGAAAGAAAAAAAACAAAAGAACGAAAGAATATAGTTAACACAACAACAACAATATCAATAGAAGAAATGTAAGAGAAACGTTAATGTAAACATGTTTTTCTCTCTCGATGACACGTTTCTCATTTCTGCGTAAGATTACAAAGCGAATGTGGTTTAGATCATTGTCAAAAGTGAACAATGAAATAAAAGCATCAATCAATCGGAATAATATTCGACGAATGTTAATATTTGTATTCAAAAAACAGAATAATACAAATAAATGTTGTCAACGAAGTTTCGATGAAGATTATGTGTGCAATTCACATCTGAATTGAGCATTAACAAATAGAAAAGCTTTTTGTACAAATCCATACAGAATAAAAAGGTGAAAGACGACGAAAACGTTTTACGGTAACATAAATATGTTTCTTATTTTCATCGGAATTTTATTGAGAGAAGAAATTTCGCCTTTGACATTGAAAACCAATTAAAAACCTCCAATTTTCTTAAAATTTCAGCAACCTCAGACTCGAAAATCTATCATACCAAAATAAAAAAATCAAATATTTTATGGTTAAAACCTCTTGATATCATCGTACAAAAACGAATGGTAGTAACCAAAACAGAACTAAGAGACATTTTGAGTACTCTGTAAGACGAAAGACTATAGAATTTCACTGTACCTTGAAGCCCATAATTGATTTTTTTTCTTTCAAAACTAACTGTTGTTAGTTGATTATTCAATGCATATATTGTTTTATTAATAAATAGATGATAAAGTATTTTAAAAAAATTCAAAGCAATCGGCATGTCGTTCTTGCAGTTAAATTCTCATCCCAGGTGAAAAAATCATACACAGATCGTATAAGATCTTGCAAGATCTTACTGACATCGGATGCTGTAAGATTTATATTGTATGATCTTACGAAATCATACAGTCATCTTACTGTAAGATTCTTGCAAAATCTGATGATTGAAATCTTGTAAGATCTTATATGATCTTATAAGATCATAATCTTACGTTTGTCTTATGTAAATATTTTTTATAACGACAGCTTCATGAATTTAAATAAATGTTTAAGCGGTTAAATATGCTCTAATATAAATGCTGAATCGTTTAGTTTTCAAAATATATCTTCTGTTTATCTGCATTTATCTGGTAAAAATTCAAACCACTGGTCACATCCATTTGACCAATCCAATTTATTGCTGTTTTGGATGATAATGTCGAATAAGTTATTTTTGTACTTATAGTACATAAAATAAAAGAGAATAGATAAATATATTGTGTGGTATATGGTCAAAAACAATAAAGAATTGATCCTCACTTCATTCTATTTTTTTCTTTTTAATGTCCGACAGATTCACTGGGGACGTCTTTTTATAAAACGACGAAGAAGTTTTTTTCGCTGTATATAGTCTATATTATCTATTTCAATATGCGTAAAAGTGAATTGCATACACTGGTTGCTACACAAACCTTTCTTGTCTTTATTACTTTGATTTTCTTGTCAGGTGTAGATATTAGTTAGGTTTCAATTTAAATGAATCAACATAACGCAATCAGCGATTTGATTGAGATAGGTCGTCAGAGAAAGAAGAGACGATTAGACTTGCAACATGACAATTACAAATATCACACTGATTTAGCTAAGAATATTATTGAAAGTTTCACTTCAACAGATTATCATTTCTCAACTGCAGAAGAAAATAATGAATTTAAATGAAATGCTTCAATTAATACTTCGCACAACAATACAAATGGAGCAAGTGCTTCCATTATCACAAACTATGATCAATATTTACGCGATGAATATTTACAAGATGTAAATCACAACATATTTTTTACGTCAAAAAGAATTGTTACAGAACAAGGATTAGAATCAAACAATAGTTCAGATTTTTTGAACGTGAATAATGGTAAAGCATTTAAAAGTTTTAGAACTCAAATTGAAGGTAAACTCATAAAAGAATGTTTATTATTTATTTTTGTTATTAAACATATTATCTAAAATGTAATATACGTATGACTAAATTATTTTCTATAACCAGAAATTTAGCATTCATATGATATGAAATAGGTGCAACTGAGAAAATATAATTTATTAATGATATTTTTCTATTGTTATTAAGTTGATTGCTTTGATTTCAACTTGAGCATGCTTTTCGATCCTATTAATGGAACGACTTCTATCTATCATATTGAATTTTTTTCCTTTTTTAGAAGATAGTGATGAAGAAGATAATTTACAACCAAAAACAAACGATCAAATTCAATTGCATCAACATACAAATATTTTACTTGATGACGTTTGTTTCAAATTTTTACAATTTATTCGTCAATCCCAAATCAGTAAAATCAGTGCAAATAAATTGTTGGCTTTTATCAAAAGTCTACTACCTGTTCCAACTCAATTCCATCAAATATGAATAATCTAGCTATTAGCACGTTTTAATATTGTTGATTATTTTAAAAAACGGACTGTTTGCACTTTATGTCAAAAGAATTTACAAGATAATCAAACTAAATGTCACGATTGTTTAACAGCTGAAACTAAACATGTTGCTCACATTCTTGATACTAATATTTCACTTTTATTAACTACAATTGTATCTCGATTAGTAAGTGAAACTCAACAATACAAAAATGCTTTCTTAAATGTATTTGATGAAGAGTCGTACGACATTTCATTTGCTAAGCAATATAAAAAATTATTAATTCAAGATCCAGGCAAAATATTTTAGATAATATCGACGACTAGACCAAACAAAGTGAGTATTCATTTAATTTAGATTGTCTTTGTTTTCATTTTAGATGATGTCAACGCTCAACCCCCAAAAAATTAGCATTTATTCAATTTAAATTGCTTTCTTTTATTTAAGAAAGTATCAACGCTTTATTCAAATAAAGTTAGTGCTTATTTAATTTTAATTGTTTTCTTTTATCTTAGATGATATCAACGATCAATCCAAATAAAGTGAGTATTTATTAAAAATTGTGTTTTTTTATTTTAGTTAATATCGGCTATTAGACCAAATAAAGTAAGCATTTATTTAACTTACACTATTTTTTCTTAGTTTTAGATGATATAAACGATTAGACGAAATAAAGTGAGTATTTATTTAATTTAGATTATCTTTGTTTTTATTTTAGATTATGTCAACGATATATACCTAAAAAATAAGTATTTATGTAATTTAAATTGTCTATTTATTTTTATTTCAGATAATACTGGTCATTAGATGAAACAAGGAAATTGTTTATATATTTTTAATTGTTTTTTTATATGATAATAATGCTTTATCCAAATGAAGTGAGTATTTATTTATTTTAAAATATCTATTTATTTTAATTTTATATAGTATTGAGGATGAGACCAAACGAAGTAGTTATTTATTTATGGTAAATTGTTTTGTTTTTATTGTACATGATATTAAAGTTGTATCCAAATTAAGTGAGTATTTATTTTATTTAAATTATCTATTAACTTGTATTTTAGATAATGTCGACGATTAGATGAAACAAAATAAATATTTATGTGATAAAGAATTTCATTTGATGCATTTATGTGTGCATAAGTGCATCAAATGAAATAAATAATTAAATTAAATTTTAATTACTTATTTTATATGATGCTTTCAGTGCATTTAAGATAAAACAACTCTTAAAGCTGGAAGCCATATAAAACAAAAAAGGAGAAAATGAGTTGTATACCTTTGTGTGCAACTCTGGAAAATCATACATGGATCTTATAAGATCGTACAAGATCTAACACTAAAATCACATAGAATCGTACGGTATGATTGTGTCAGAAAAGTTGACTTTGAGGTGGACGTATAGAATCTTACAAGATCATATATGATTTTCATATGATCTTGTACGATCACGGAAGATTAGACGTACGTTCTTATATGATCTTGTAAGAATTGTATAAGATCATACGCTAAGATTGCTTCACCTGGGATGAGCAGAAGATTAAAATCATAGAATTTATAAATAAAAAAGATTAATATTGTTTTTCTGCACACAGATTTAACGATTTTTCTAGATTTTCCTCTTCTAAATTTATTCAAATATAACTCATTTTTACGAATAGTTAAGTATTGGGACAAATGTAGGAATAAAAAAAGAATTCTAACCTTAAAAATTCAATTTTCAATAATAATGAATCAGTTTAGATATATTACAAATTTGATCAACTGCATCTTGAATATAATTTCCATTGACGTCAAACAATTGACAATTGACAAAGTTTAGGTGCATTAAATGGCGAAGACAATATCAATCGGAAAACAAATATTCATTTAACTTCTTCTCTACTTTGCTACAAGAAATTTTTTGGATTAATGATGGGGTACAGTTCTTCATCGATGCAGGCCTCAACCGAGTGATTCTGCATTATATTTGTACATGTGATAACAGTTTTTTAGCACCATCAACAGTGGTCTTTTTTTCTTTTCCACAATTAGAATAATTTTCTTAACGTACGAGTTGTACATCCCTTTCACGGCGACATAAATATTGTTTTTTTTTATTTATGACGACTATAATATTTGAAAAGAGGTTTCATCAATGTTTCTCTTATGAATATGAACTTTGAATATTTCTTTATCAGTGGTAACAGAATAAGCTGTTTTGGTCAAACTATGGCAGAGATATTCTATTTTTTCTGTGACAAATGAGCTTTTGGGCTACCCTATAGTGTGAGTGACCCACCAATGGATCAAATCGTCATCAAAGGGTTATGGATAATAAAATAGTATTGACATTTGTTTCTTCCTTTGATTGATTCAATTTATCTTTCAACAATCTTCTCAGATGAGAAGCAAAGTAAGACATTTCATTAAATTGATTATTTTATTTAATAAAAACCAAAAACAAATGATTGATCTAGTGTTTTATATTTGTCATAGAATCATTATTAAAAATATAAGTGTTAGAATAAAATCAACAAACAAAGAAAATACCGACCGTCATTGAAAGAATCTCCCTACAGATGCGAAATATCTAATGAATGGAGTTTTTCTGTTCATTGAGAAAATAAAACAAGTTTGACAGACAAACAAACTGATTGCACTTTATCTTTCAACAAGTTATGTAATATATCAACCAAAGAAAATAAGATAACTTATCTCGAAGTCGTCGCCTGAATCATCATAGAACATTAAATCATTCGGCGCCAATAACGATAAGGTAATGACATAATCGTTGATGGATTTGCCAAACACTATCTAATTAGATAAAATAGACATATGTATGCAGAGAATGATCGACGCTGTTACATAACCGACAAACAAATCAAACAAATTTTGATTGAAGACTTCGTATTTGAACTTGATGAATATATGTCAATATTTTCTTTGTATTGTCAATTGTGTCTATTTACACCATTTTACGACGAATCATCTTATCTTGTTTTGTTCACCTTTGATTACTCCTCTATGATAAATATACTGCACGACAATGCTAATAAAATCATGCTCTAAATGTTATGTAGAGCAAAGAAATAGATATTTTCATACAATGGGAAACAAACCATTTTTGAGTAAAATAGACAAAAAACAGATATTAGGAAGAAAAAGAAGACAGTTGAGATTCAACAAATAATCGAATATTTAGTGCACATAGAACAGACTAAACAATTCTATAATATCAAATGCTATGTAAACGAATGTATCTATTATAAAATAATGCTTTTCTCATACTTATAACTCTAGATCTACTTGAATCACGTTTGTTATCAGAAGACGAATGTGTATTGTTCATGGTTTGAAGAATAATTTTTCTCATCGTTGACTTTGATATATGGAAAACATGCCTTGATTGGGATTCATTTATTGTTGCTGATAGTTCAATTATTCTATTTTTAACTCATACATCAATCTATACCGATGGATAATCTTCTGACAAAAGCTGGCTAAAAAATAGAACGTCGCCCTAGTGAAACATCTTGTAAGCAAGATCTTGACCAAGATACAAGGTACAGAAAAGTCAGTAGATCTTGAAAATTTAGGCACAAGATAATGTACTTATCTTGTGCCAAGATCTTTAATTAGATCTTTGGTACAGATTTGAAAGATCTTAGTAGCAACTATTCAAGATCTTACGTCCATTATTTTGTGTTTTCTAATCTTTTCTAATGATCTGTGGTACAGATAATTATACATTTGGTACAGATAATGAAGGTTTTTAAGATCTTTAGACAGTTTGTTGTTGTCTAGCCTTTATTTAATAGAAATAAATACCCATTTAATCATGCTTGTACACTTATTTTCTACCGAAATCGTCCAGGAAAAAGAACAAGCACACAGCAAACGCTATATTTTTTATAAATAATCATTACAATCTAAAAAATATTTTCACAAGAAGGGAAACAAAGTAAAATTTAAAGCTAAAAATTATTGTTTTTCTATGTCTTTATTAATGTTTGTGCTTATTCTTTTGATAAAAATAAGCTTTGTGTTTAACTTGTTTTCATTGATCTTTATTAACAAGTGTTGAAAAATATATAATAATTGTTATTGATCATGTTACCATTAGAAATCGATCTGTACATAACGACATTTGATATTATGGCATAAACAAAATCAGACTTTCCCTAGTCGAACATCCTGTAAGCAAGATCTTGGCCAAGATACAAGGTACAGAAATGTGAACAGATCTTGAAAATTTAGGTACAAGATAATCATATTATCTTGTACCAAAATCTTGAATCAGATCTTGGGTACACACTAAGATAAAACGTGTTGCATGTGTCACGATTTGCGACACAATATATTAGACATTCTCAAAACGTGATTCGAACCTATTATATAGCGTATTTTTTTTTCTGTAAAAGCATGTTATGAAATTTTTTCAATTTATCTTCATTTTTATTATTTCTACTCCGAATAACTGAAGCAAGTCAGATCTTGGAATCTGTCTGACCCTGAGATGGCTCGATCTCCATCAGACTGCTTTAGGGTAGTCCTCCCTCGATCATCAATCGAGATCAGCATGTTCTCGAATGATCGACATTCTAGAAATAGTTTTTAAAAATAGTTATGTTGAAAATGTATGTTTTGTATGTTCCATCACGTTGTTTATATACGGCTCTGTATGCATAAAAGAACGCTGAATGACTAGTCAGCATGTAAATACTGATGATGTCGCTTTTTTTACTCAAGATCCTGTGAGAAGATAATAGTAAACGATATCTTTTCCATGATCTTGACAAGATCTTCGATACAGATTTATCCGATACAACCAAGATATTCACATACAACTTATTTTTTCAAGATCTCATCAAGATCTTGCTTACAAGATATTCGACTAGTGTTATAACTGATGGAGCAGAATAAATGGACCTCTCAGTATTTTGACTATAACTTTTTGTCTTTTCGATCCTTAGAGCTGATTGTTTTTGCAAAAGATGCGCCGTCAAATGCTCTACAATACTTTAATAAAACCTATTTCTGTAAAAAATTAAGGAGAAAAATTAAACGAAGAATACCAGACTCGTATAAAATATCCAACTTTCAAGCTGAACTGCCGTCTTCTTCAACTATTTCCATTATAAACTGGAGAATATCAGAAAAGAAAAATATATGCATTTTGTAGCTCTCGAAAAGCTCTATCAACCAGTGTTATTAGTGAGCAAATACTGAATCACCCGTGGATGGCCACATCAATTTTCCTATCTTTGAGACTTATCAAAATTCATCCATTTGAATCCGTCGTTTTCGGAGCTTCTGGAAAATGCCGC